TAAAGCATGCAGTGTCCAGTTTCAGTATGTGTATTGTAATCATGTGGTAAACGTATATTTGCCTAGCGTTTGAGCCATTACGCTTGGAGCTGATGGTCTCTGGGAAAAATCAGTTGCAAAATAAGGAGGGATACCTGATGAATATTAAGTCATGGACCCACAGTGATAGAGTACAGCAAATTACTTTGGTGCTTCCCTTATCACTTAAGCATATACCGTATATCTATAGATGTATAGACATCTATAGGATTGCACTGTCACATCTGCCTTGACTTTTGCAGCAGTGCATAGAGCAGTTACTTCATCCTTGCTCTCGCTGGCATGGGTCCAAGGAAACTGACCCAGAGGAATGCAGCAAACCCATTGCCATATGAAGATTGATGGTTGCTAAGCAAGCCATTGTTGTATTCAAGAAAAAAAGGCTCTTGGTGCTTTGCTATATAGAAAGGGGAAACAAAGCATCTAGGTATGAACCACATTAGAAAATAGAGGATGTGTGACTTACAGGAGTGCAGAACTATGAATGGCTGAGTACTTGAGTCAGTATTATATCATAGTACAGACATTCAGAAACCTGGTTCTCTTACGAAATTGCTGTCAGTCCATCACCTGCCTTTCTCTGTGGAACGCCCTGCCTTCAGATGTTGAGAAAATAAACAACTATCTGACTTTTAGAAGACATCTGAAGACAGCCCTGTTTAGGGAAGTTTTTAATGTCTAATGTTTTATTGTGTTTTTACTACTCTCCTGGGGTATAAAATTATTATTATTATTATTATTCTGAAACACAAAATTTGTTGAGGCTGCAATCCTATACCCACTTACCTGAGAGTAAGCCCCATTGAACTCTGTGGGACTTACTTCTGCATGGAGAGTTAGGACTGTGCTGTAAAAAGCAGAATATGACCATTTTAAGGAAATGCTGGGTTTTGGTTTTATGAAATCCAAACCATAAAGAAAATGCCAATAATTTTATATGACAGTAAAACCAATAAACTGGAGAGTGCAAAGCAAGCACGGTGTAAAGTTAAATCACTAGTAAAACAAATTTAGAGGTGCTGGGAATACATAGCAGAGGTCTGTTCTGCTCTAGCCTCTACCTTGTGAAATAAATATGTGACATGAATTTTCATTCTATTCACTCCTGCAGTTTTTGTTCAAAGGTTAAACATAAACTAAGGACCTCCCATGTAGCATTCAGTCACTTTGAATGGGCAGGAAAGAGCAAGGTATGGCATTGCCCAAGACCCTCATGCCCTTAGATTCCCCATGGGGTTTCAGCAGGAGATGTTGTCAAACAGGAAAATGGCACTGCATAGCACAATAGAAATGATTTCCAGGTGTGTTTGTATTAACAGCCATATATTTTGCTTGTCATAAAAATGAATCTAATATCTGTGTCCCAGTTGCTCTTTAATAATGCAGCCAGCGGCACACTGGAGATCATATGAACCAATTCCTCAAAGATGATGGATGCACTTGGTCCTCTAGAAGATGCTGGTTATAGGACAGCTGATCAGAACTAGCAACTGGACTGTGTGTAAAACCTCTGACTCTTACACTATGTACATACTGTACTTTTAAAGCACATTGCTTCCCCGAAAGAATTGTGAGAACTGTAGTTTTCTCCATCACAGAGCTATAATTCCCAGCACCCTTAACAAACTACAGGGGGGGGGATTTAAAAGTATGCTGTGTATCCAAATATGGCTGGTGCACTTCCGCCCTGAGTCATCAGCTTCTAAAGCAGGTATCGGCAAACTCGACCCTCCAGATGTTTTCGGACTACAACTCCCATCATCCCTAGCTAACAGGACCAGTGGTCAGGGATGGTGGGAGTTGTAGTCCCAAAATATCTGGAGGGCCGAGTTTGCCTATGCCTGTTCTAAAGGTTCTATGGGTCCAAAATCCTGGAGCTTTTGTGGCAGTTGGGGAAGGGAACTTCTGGGTTTGAAACTTTGCTTTAAGGACTAATAGTCCTATGCAAGCACTACAAATGGCTATTTCAGAGAAGGAATTGATATATCTGTCTATTTCTAGTTCATTTTAGTACATTCATCAGTCCATTCTATCCCATTCTTGCACCAATCTGCATTTTTTTAAAAAAGCATGAAGATTCGCAATATTTTAACAATCTTTTCATAAAATTCATATTTTTATACACATATTTCCTAATATATGCATTTTGTATGTATTTTCTCCTAAAATGCACAGGCTGTGCTCATTTTTACCCCAAATACACATTTTTATATGCATTTTTGCACTTGCTTTTTAAGCCAATAACTATATTGAAAAATTCAGAGAAGTGCAAAAATCAACAGAAAACTGTGCTTTGATCTGCTTGTTAGACTGAAAAGTGTGAATCAGTCAGTTTGCTTAAAAATGCAGCTCAATAAAATATTTGAGGGCCCCTGCCTCAGTGTTACAACTCATAGGATTCTGTTGTTAGAGAGCGCAGGAAATATTGGTTATTATCAACACTCACAAGGAGAATCATGCAGACATTTGGATACTTTTTCTCTTACTGAACTAAGAAGGAATGGAACTAATTACCAACTATTGTCTCATCTGCAAAGAGGTATCCAAGTTCAATAGTTTACATCCCCATCTGTGACCCTGCAATAGAAACAGAATGTTTTCCCTCAGCAGTTGGGAACTGTATTTCTTCTTTTAAAATGTTGGTCTGGTGGGGATTGAATTTCATTTTATTACTCAAGCTGTCTTTCTTGCTATATTAAAAAAACAACTTGGAAGCACACAGCATTAAAACTGATCTTTATAATCTACCAACATGTCTCTTTGCAGAATAAAAAAAAGTTCCTTAAATGTTTGTTCTCAGATGGTGACCAAGAGATGGGTGAAATCCAAATTAGAGTTTTGGCACTGACTTGTAACTATAGCATATGACACATATAAACTAAGCATATGATGCTGACAGATACTCATTGACTTTGCTCTCTGCTGTCTAAGATAAATCAGCAAAGTGAAGTACATTTTATTCTACCACTCAGAGTCCCTCCATACATCCTTTTTATTGTGCATTCAATGATTACTTGTGCTCTGGATGGTATTAAAACAGTTATACACATTTCTAGGTAATGAAAGTAAAGTTAAAGGACCTCTGGACGGTTAAGTCCGGTCAAAGGCGATTATGGGGTTGCGGCGCTCATCTCGCTTTCAGGCTGAGGGAGCCGGTGTTTGTCCACAGACAGCTTTCCAGGTCATGTGGCCAGCATGACTTAACTGCTTCTGGTGCAACGGGACACCGTGACAGAAACCAGAGCACACGAAAAAACCATTTACCTTCCCTGCCACAGCAGTACCTATTTATCTACTTGGTGTGCTTTCGAACTGCTAGGTTGGCAGAAGCTGGGACAGAGCAACAGGAACTCACCCCATTGAGCGGATTCAAACCGTCAACCTTCCGATCGGCAAGCCCAAGAGGCTCAGTGGTTTAGACCACAGCACCACCTGCATTCCATTTTACCTTTTTACACATTTCTATACTTGTTTGCACCTGCTAATGTTTCAGGGAAGACACATTGCTTTCCCCCCAATCATTGTATGTCCCATAACTTCCTGCTGAAATCCTGTAACTTTTCATATCACAAATGCTTGAGGACACAGGTTGTCCTGCTTTCAATGTCCTATAGTGCAAGAACCATAGAATTCTAGAATTGTGGAGCTGGAAGGGACCACAAGAGTCATCTAGTCCAACCCCCTGCAATGCAGGAATTTTTTTGCCCAGTTTGAGGCTCGAACCCATGACCTTGAGATTAAGAGTACCCTTCCAGACAATGTGGTAATATTGGGAAAGTATTGTAGAACAGTGGAATGCTGTGTAGACGATCCAGTATAAATCTACCACTTATGCAGTGTTATTGCATCAATGGCACACTGCAGACTACACCCAGCAAAACAAAACAAAACAGCAATTTGTCATGGCCCTTAATATGCAAAGGACAATTATTATAAGTAAAATAATACAAAATAAAAAAATCTTAACAACCACTGGTCTTATAGGAGGAACCAGGATTCTGCTGGCTTTTCTTCAGTCATCCAGTCAAGAAAGTTCCTTTTCAATGGCTTTTGATCATTGGCTCAGGACAAATTAAAATACAAAAAACCAGTGATTCATTTGATATAGGAGGCTCATGCTGTAAAATCATTAAGCAACATATTCATCCCCCCCCCCCCGGCCTCTTTCTTATCAATGTAATTAAGGGCTGAAATAAAACATTTAAGGGTTTTACTGAAATGTATGTGAAATTCAATTGAGACCGACATTTGTGCTGCTTCATGGATGCGGCTGGACGGTGGCAAAACAACATGGTTTCGTAACATGATGAGGAAAAACAAAAGCAGAGCATTCATTCAGTAGGAAGAGTTATATCTCAAATAGCTCAGCCTGCAAAGGCAGCTTATCTATTTTACATACAGCACTAAAATGAAACAGGCTTTTCTTCCCAATTCCTGATTTGCATTTCAAATATCCAGAGCTTTCACCATTTCAGCCTCTATATTACTGCAGAAAAGAAGGACAAAGTAGCTGCTTATGCTTTCCTTCATGTTGCCCTGATAGATTTTCAATGCAGATCTTTTCTTTTCTTTTTTTTCCTGGAAATGAAAACGAATGTGTTGTCACACATTCCTCATGGCTTGTCCCAGCACCTAAGCAATCTGAAGATGAAGTCTTGCTTCCACAGCCATCCACACGATCAGAGAGGCTTGATGGGAGATTGGCATGGAAAAGTCTCCTAGAGGATTCTAAAAAGCTGGAGAAAGTGGGGACTGAAAGATGCCCAGGAAAGAGACTTTCTGATGAGGCTTTCTAACACAAAGGGCGATCTCATCAAGACAGGGCCTGACATATCAGTTTAATATCAGGATTGTGGTCTGTATGCTGTGAGGGGGAAGGACAGAGGAATAGTAGCAAGGCAGGTCAAGAAAGGGGTTAGGTGACAGTGGGGAACAGTAGGCAGTAGGCATCTCTCTATCTGGAATAGCTCAGTTGGTAAAGTGTGAGACTCTCAAGCTCAGGGTCGGAGGTTTGAGCCCCATGTTGGGCACAAGGGGCATGGAACTAGATGACCCTCAGGGTCTCTTCCAACTCTACAATTCTGTGATTCTGTGAAAAGCAGGAACCTGGAGAAAGCAGGGTAGAAGAAGCATGCAGTTGAAGCAAGGAGGAGAAGGATGAAAACAAAGCTGGAAAGTAAAGCTTTCAGGAAAGAAGTAAGCAGTAAAGGAGGTTTGCTGGACAAAAGGCAGCAGGTCAAAGAGCTGAAGGCCCTACACCAGTGATGGCCAAACTTGGCCCTCCAGCTGTTTTGGGACTACAATTCCCATCATCCCTGACCACTGGTCCTGTTAGCGAGGGATGATGGGAGTTGTAGTCCCAAAACTGCTGAAGGGCCAAGTTTGGCCATGCCTGAGCTAGGGACTTCTGCTGCTGCGGGAATAGATTCTGAAACACTCTTTTTAGTGAATGAAGTTTCATAAAGCACACTGCATGCTATACAGTTTTCTGATCTATACTATGACATCTTCTTATTGGGCAAAGGACCATAGCTCAGTAATAGAGCACAGGCGTTGCATCCAATTGGCTTGGGTCTTATCTTTGAGATCTCCAGCTCAGGCTGGGAAAGTGCTGTTGGTGGAAACTCTGATGAGCCTCTGTCAGAAACAGCACTGAGCTAACTGTACCAGTGGCCGGAGTTGAAATCAGGCAGCTTCCTATGTGCTGCCAACTCTTTCAAATGGTTGTGCAGCATGATTTGTCCTGCTTCCCTGGAAAATGTTTTAGCAATAAAGAAATATCACAGGCGATTTGAAGAATGCAACCAACACAATGTGACACCGTTTCTTTCAAAGGAATCCGTCATTCTGAGATGAATCACATAAGATGAAATGTGTGCGTGTGCGTGCTTTTGTCTTAGAACTTTTTCGTCTCTCTCACTTCATGAAAGTTTTGTTGGCTCCCTCTCTGAATCAAACAAAAAACAGCAGGAAATATCAAAGTATCTTGTTTCTTTATACAAGAAATCTGGCTGTGAAAGGCAGGGAAGGATGTTAAAAAATGATGTTGTTAAAAGGAACGAAACCACTTTCCCTTCTCCAAAATGGCTGAGGTAACTCCTCAACAAGAGCTTTATCGGAGTTTCAATTTACTTGGTCTCCAAATGTCATTCTTGGAAAAGAACCTCAAGATTAAAAGGTGGGTGTCACATTTATTTTTAACATTTATTTTGGGAGGTGACGGCTTTTTGCTGTTTGTTCTTAATGTTGGCAATGCAGCTGAGTAAATCTGTTCCATATCCTGTTTCTTATCAGCTGATGGAAGCCAGCTCTCTCCATGAAAACCGTGTCTCCATTTTTCAATCTCCTCCTCCTGCAGTTTTCAACCAATTTGGTGTTCTTCCTCCACTGAGTGAATTCACTATTTATGTTTTTTAAAAGACAGATGAGAGAACATCAAACAGGAAAAGAAGTAGGTTAGCCTTCCTAGGAGAGTAAGCTGCTGCATTTTATTTGGATTACTGGTGACCTTTATGGGAAAAGCCTATAAACAAGGTGAACATTTCATTGCCCAAACCGGCTCATGTTTTGTGACCAACTCCCCTGTTTATGTCTCTGCAAATGCAATATGAAAGCATAAATTCATCTTATGAATATACCATATTTTTAAGTGCCTTCCTTTATTTTTCACAACGGCGGTATAAAATCCATTTTTCTTTCAAAATTTTATCATCTCCACAGATAAGCAGCATTGGAGTCAAAAGCAATTTGCTGATGCCCTTTCAGCAGTAAGGCAAAATGAAAATACATCAAAACATGCAGTGCACCTTCTTATTTTCTCAGAAACACAGGCCACGTATTTGAACTCCTTAAGCAAAAGTGATAAAGATGTTAGCTTTACACCTGAGACATAGTATATTTCCCATATTAATTATGAGCCGGTTTATACCAGCCTTTGACAATCTGGTGCCTTCCATATGTTTTCGACTACAAGTCCCATCAGCCATTAGCCAGTTGGATCTTTGATAGATATAACTTATCATGCCTGCTCAGACGTCAGCCTGTTTAAGTTCAGAGGCCTTGTGCCCATGTAAAAGTGTACAAGGTTGAAGCTAAAATAGTATAATAAATAATAATCTGCCTCTTCTTGGTTTTTTTCCCTTTTGTTTTTGAGGTTGATTGCCGCCTAGACCACATAACACCGGTCTTGAAAGACCTACACTGGCTCCCAGTACATTTCTGAGCACAATTCAAAGTGTTGGTGCTGACCTTTAAAGCCCTAAATGGCCTCGGTCCAGTATACCTGAAGGAGCATCTGCACCCCCATCGTTCTGTCCAGACTCTGAGGTCCAGTGCCGAGGGCCTTCTGGCAGTTCCCTCGCTGCAAGAAGCCAAGTTACAGGGAACCAGTGCCTTCTCGGTAGTGGCACCCGCCCTGTTGAATGCCCTCCCACCAGATGTCAAAGTGAAAACAACTACCAGACTTCTAAAAGACAACTGAAAGCAGCCCTGTTTAGGGAAGTTTTTAATGTCTGATGCCCAATGGAAGCCGCCCAGAGTGGCTGGGGAAACCCAGCCAGACGGGCGGGGTATAAATAATAAATTAGTATTATTATTATTTAAACATAATGTTTGATTGAATGTATAATTGTTTTAATAAAAATAATATAAAATGCAATAATGCTGTATTAAGTACTCCCTGGCAACATTTGGTATCAGATCCTGAGATTTGGGAATAATGATCCGGAGCCAAACAGACACAAAAAAGTGTTCTCGGTTGGTTGAAGCTCTTTGATGTTAAATCTAGTGATTAGGAGAAGAGTCTAAATCAGAACTTCTGCTGAAATCTTTTTTGTGGATCATGAAAACGAAGCAGAGGACCTTGGTCCAACAAGAGATTACTCCCACATACATAAGGACTAGATAAAATGATGGTTCGTTCTAGTATCTTCCATGTGTCACACTTATGCAGGGAGGGGACAGCCAATTGGACCTCTCTCCTTGCCTCCAATGTCATGTGATTTACTAGTGCTGCTGCTGAAGTCACATGGTTCCAATGACTGCATGTTGGGCATCCAACATTTTGCCATTTAGGCAATAGCCAGTGACCAAAAAAAACCCCCAAAACTCGTAAGAAGGCTTTATTCCATATTATGGAATATTACTTGCAAAATGGTTGTTGAAACAGTAATAAAATAAAATTCAAAAGATTAAAAGCAATAAATTAGCCTTGGTTTATTACAATTTTGTAAACAAAATAAGAAATAAAATAAAGGGGCCATATGCACAGACAAAGTCACGCGCATAGAAGCTCGTCCACATGTTGGCAGTAGTGGCTGTACTATAATGCAAGGCATCCCTTGCAAATCCAGATTTCTAGACAGAATGCAACTGTCCATCCCCTCTAAAAGAAAAGCCTACTTCTCAGAGACTTGTTATAACTTCATCATAAATCAGTGGCTGCTTTTTCATAGATTTCAACAGGAACAGAAACGCAAACCTTACATGACAGCATTAATTCCACACAATATCATGCCCCTTTTCCAATATTATGTCCCTTTTGGCATATTTATGAAAAGCATCTCATCCCATTTAGCTCATTAAATGAGCTTATTATTTTCCCCAAAAAACCATTTCCTCCAAACTGTAATACCTCATCATTGGCATTATTATCTGCTTCGGGAGCACAGTATGTTTTCTATTAGCCCTGATTGCTCAATGTGGCTTGAAGGAAAATGTCTTCATGTTTTTAATTTGACTGAATTGCTCTTTATCAATGGAGGAGACAGCTGAAGATGAAACATATTGTCAGTCCTGCACTGCAAGAGGTCTTATTATCCTCACCTATGCAAATCCCTCCTGCGCATTCTCTCTGCAAACAGGATTCCCCCCCAACAATATGGGGGCAGCCCCACACATACAGGTGAGCTCAGTCCTAGTTAGAGTATCCAGTCATACACACAATACTGAGCTAACTCAGTATAAGACAACTACATATGTCCACATTCAAAGGTAAAGGTAAAGGGACCCCTGACCATTAGGACCAGTCGTGACCAACTCTGGGGTTGCGGCGCTCATCTCGCTTTATTGGCTGAGGGAGCCGGCGTACAGCTTCCGGGTCATGTGGCCAGCATGACTAAGCCGCTTCTGGCGAACCAGAGCAGTGCACGGAAACGCCGTTTACCTTCCTGCCGGAGCCGTACCTATTTATCTACTTGCACTTTGAGGTGCTTTCGAACTGCTAGGTTGGCAGGAGCAGGGACCGAGCAACAGGAGCTCACCCTATCATGGGGATTCAAACCGCTGACCTTCTGATCGGCAAGTCCTAGGCTCTGTGGTTTAACCCACAGCGCCACCCGCGTCCACATTACTTCCCTGCAAATGAAAAATAAGCAATGTGAGGAAAAATCTACGTTAGCTTTTCACCAAGTTCACTGGAAATAAACCCCTGTATTGGGGAGGGGCAGTACCACTGATGGGGTTTAAACCAGATGAGGGTAGCCGATGAGTGTCAAACCCTCAGTGAATTAGGGACTTCCCGTGCATGTGAAGACAGGCTCTGGCAAGTTGAGTGGACAAGGTAAAGGTAAAGGTAAATGACCCCTGGACAGTTATGTCCAATCAAAGGCGACTGTCGGGTTGTGGCACTCATCTCACTTGAGGCCGAGCGAGCCGGTGTTTGTCCACAGACAGCTTTCTGGGTCATGTGGCCAGCATACTGGTAACTAAACCTCTTCTGGCACAACGGGAGCTCATCCCATCATGCAGATTCGAACTGCCAACCTTCTGATCTGCAAGCCCAAGAGGCTCAGTGGTTTAGACCACAGCGCCACCTGCGTCCCTTAGTGGACATGACCAATAGCGGGTCCAACAGTCAAAAAGGTGGTTTCTCCACATGCTGTAGAGCAAAGTGAGAGGCAGATGGGACTCATCAATCTGGGAAGGTAGCCCATTTAGGAGAAGAAAAATTCTGATACCCTGCAGAGTATCTTTGGGAGAAGAAAAGGCTAAGGAATAAACCTTAAAATGATTGGATGGTGCCTTGTATGCC